GGGAAAAGATATCCCAGTCCCCATCCACAATTTAGAGGAGTATCTCAGAGTATGTAAAAGCAAAGCTAGGACTGTTGTGTGGGGGTGTTTTTTTTTTTTTTTTTTTTTTGTTTTTTCCCCCCTTAGTTTGCTACTGTCTATAAAGCAAGGGATAAGAACACCAACCAAATTGTGGCTATTAAAAAGGTGAGTGTCAAAATGCTTTCCCTTTGTGTGATCGAGTGTCTCTTTGCTCTTGCCCTGCCTAAGGATTTTTTTTGGGGCCGGTTTAATGGGTAGCAGGAGAGCTTTAATTCTTAATCATAAATCATTTTAATTAAGTGGTCCAAATCAGTTGTCTCTCTTACTCCTTGCTCCAAGAAGAATGAGTAGCTTCAGTCATGCTACGTTTCTGAGTTTCTTAAGGAGTATTTGGTCTGCAGCTTGAAATTTAATTTTTTTGGTAAATGCGTCTATATCTTTAAAAATACACACACTTTCACACTTTAGGTTTTATTAGTCCTTGATGATGACTTGCAGTTTCAGTCCTTCCTCTTGCTGTCTCTTCCTTCAATCCGAGTGTGTTACTTCTGAATAAGCTCTTTGGAACTGTTGGTGAAGGAAATGCTGACAAAAGCATTCTTAAGTCTGCAGCTTAACTGTGTGAACACAATTGATGAAAACGTGTTTATGCTGTCATAAGTTGTTTCACTTCATACTATCTGAAGACATTGCGGTAAGTTGTTGTATTGAAAACAAGTGGTTGCTTCTACTTTGTGAAGGAGGAAATATGTACTTGACAGTGCTTTTTTAGTAAAAGAACCTAGCTTTACTTAGGCAATTGATCTAGACCAGTAACATGGTAATTTTGTTTGGTATACTGATCCATTTTAGTATTCTCTCATTGTTCCTGTAAGGTTGCTGCTGCTAGTAACTGCTGTGAAAAGCATCCTTGTTTGCGCGGAAATATATTTTCAGTTGATACAACTCTATGAAAATCAGTGAGGGATTCTGGACTTAAACGTCAGGCAGCAGAATCATTGACATCATCATTCAGGTGAAATCAGCATAGACTGTAAGCTTAGGCTGACTTAAAGTCATTTTAACAATACTATCAATTACTTCAACCTCATTTTTCCCTGGGAAGAAGCTTGTCAGTGGTGTAATTTAGCTTTGTGATTACAAAACATCCTATGCTGCCAGTTTGCATTATGTCCCTTTTCAGCCATCATGAATGTTTTAAACTTGGATAAAAGCTAATGCTGTGGAATCCATTCTCTCTATAAATAAATACATAAATTTAGCTGGCTAAGCACTTTATGGTACTAAAACTCATTCTGTCTTAGAGGAGTAACGTTAAGGAATTTATCCACTGTCGGGGCACATCGCTCAACCATAGATAATGTGAAACTTATTTCTCTTTAGATTAAACTTGGACATAGATCAGAAGCTAAAGATGGTAAGTTATTACTTTTTTTTAACAAATTCATACTGCATAACTTGTGCCTTGTTTACTTTGTTTCTGTAAATTGGTGTTTAATTTCCCACACCATAACTTGGCTGAGAAAATGAGCTCAACTCTTTTAGCGTTAGGCTTTAATTCCATGTCGTTTTGTTTTCCCACAATGTCGTAATCAAGGTTTGCCTCTTAACCTGGAGGAACAAAAAAAGCAGCCGAAATATCTGCATACATAGTATATGTCTAAATGTGAAGGCGTAACTGGCCGACTCCTCAATTTAAGAGAAATACAAATATGAATAGAGTAGTGCGAAATAATGATTTCATTATTCATTAGCCATTTCAAAATCGTGGCTAAATAAACTAATATACATCACTGAGTTTAGAATAACTTTCTGCGTTTGTATGTCTTTTTACCTTAAATGTGTATGACAGGTGAGAGCGTTTATCTGTTTTCAGATGTTTCATTTGTGGGTTTTTTTGTGATTTATGCTGAGACAAAAGTTAATAAAAAGATATTAAACTCTTGACTGTGTGTGGATTTGTTTGTTGTTTTGTGCTGAAAATCAGGTTCATAGAGCAGTCTCTTTCGATCAGGTGTTCTGACCACCCACATGCTTTTTAGGTGAGGATATAGTAAGTGAAAACCACTACTCTTGGTCTTCTCTCACCGCCTGTGCGGTGTGGTAGAATTTTGTGTGTGTCCAGGGTGTTGTCCTTCACAGATCCTGCATCAGGTTGCCTGCTTTCCAGTGAAACGTTTTGTTGATCGGCTTTTCCATTCCATCCTTGGGGAAGAATTCCTAAAGAGAAATCGAGTGCCAATCCCAGAATGTCCCAGTTGGGCTGACTGCCACAGAGTCATGATTCACCTGGTCTGCAGTGGGCTGATGTCCTTCGGGGACATGGCATACATGGCATCCTTTCTGAATCTTGGGGCTTGCCTTCCTCAAAGCAAACATTGTCTGCTTGATTCTAAAATAGGCAAAGCAGGAGAGTAGAGTAATCCACGTAGCTTTGCCTAAAACTGTGGTACAGTCTGACATGTTGAATCAGGTCCGAAGTTTGGGAGAACAGGTCTGCTGCTGTTCAGCTCATGCATAGCTGAAACTCTTCTTGCACAGCATACCACAGCAGTGCTCGTTTGCCAATCAGATGTTTGTAAGAGCCACACATACTAGCATCTTTGAAGAAGGAATTGTTACCCTGCAGTAATCATGGTTTGATGCAGTGCAGTGTGACTGCCAAAATGTACCTCCCAGTCTCCTCTTTATAAAACCCAGCTGTTACAGGATTTGAGCTAGCCTGAGCAGGTGTAGGCCACTGTACTTCTATGACACAACACAAGAGCACAGTGTACCTTATTAAATAATGCTAGTTTAAAAAGAAAAGAGAGATTTTTATGAGGCTTGTCATTTTGCGTTCCCCTGGAAATGAAACGCTTTGAGGAACTGATATTTGCAAGAGGTACTTTTTCTTTAAAACAAAACTTAAGCTTACTGTAACCTGTAAATTAAAGGCAATTTTTCTAGACTTGTGCTAAAACTTCCCCTTTTTGCCGAAAGGGGGCATATGTAGCTTCATAATGTAAATCTTCTCACTGCTATGGTGTATAACTTACTTGCTGTGGAAGAAGTGTACATCCACTTGTAGCCTGCAGCAATGTACTTGACGAGTCACAAACTGAAATCCGTTTTTGAGCAGAGAGGAAGTAGATTTTAATAGCGAATCACAGAATAAGAGCTTTATTGGTTGGAGTTTAAACAAAGCTTTTAATTTTTGTTCCCTCTCTGTCATTTTCCTTTCAACATAGGAATCAACAGAACAGCCCTCAGAGAGATAAAG